CTGGTGAAAATTTCATGTCATTAGCACCTCTAGTAATATATTTACTGAGAAAAATGGTGACGTGTTCAATACTTATTTTACCCGCTGTATGTACTATAACTTTATATTTTTTAAAATATACCAAATAGGTCTTTTGTACTTCACAAAATAACTTACGTTTTATGTTAAACATAATCTTTGTGAAAGAAATAGTTATTTTAATAGATAAATCACTGAGAGTTTCCTTGGCTTAATCGTTATCGGCTAAATACCACAATTAATCGTGATTAATTTTTTTGCCAGTATTGCCCAACCCTACTGTCTACCAGGATGATAAAGATGAAACATGGCTGGACATTTCAGCAAGACAATGAGCCCAAACACAAAGCCAAGGAAACTCTGTGATTTATCTATTAAAATAACTATTTCTTTCAAAAAGATTATATTATTTAGAGAGCTCATATAATCATCTAATACTATTTATTCTTCATATTTGACCATTTATTGAATCACAGAGCAGTTCAGTCACAGTATGGTTCTAAATATAAGATAAGCTACAAAAAATAAACTACAAAATGAACATAAGGTTTTTTTGTTTTTGCGGGTTGAGGGGCGGGGTGCCTAACGCTAAGCGGAGACTCGTCTTTTCTATGCTGGAGCAAAGTGTTCATCTAGTTAATATTTTGGAAGAGCAGCGGCTCTCACAGAACTCAGCCTGTGTGCACCTCGGCCCGTAACAGCGCTGTCGAAGAGAGGAGTTTGGTCACACGAGCAACGTTGGACATATATGTTAGATAACGAAGCTCTGAACACATAAACTTATAGTCTGTTAGATTTTAGATACCAGCGTCTCTGGTATATTGGGAGCGAAGTGGGGAGGACGGGGTTTTCTCGCTCAGGACAGGAGCTGAAGTTTGACCGGTGTTTAGACTGCTGCACCGAGTCGACATCAGAAAGACCCACCCTGCTCTGCTCTGATTGGATAAAGCTGTGGGGTGCGTTTGATTTGTTGAAAGCAGCGTCTGTTTAAACATGTATAAGACTGGGCTGCCCAGTTTTGTTGCGGTCTCGCAACAGAAAACAAGCAGGTTCTCCGTCATGGGCAGAATGACGTCAGTCAGGAAATTAGTATATCGTGATATTATTTATTTTACCGGGCAAGTATTTTTTTACTGGTATTATCGTGAACGATATGATATGGCCCAGCCCTATTTGTAGCAATGATGTATGATTGCGTAAGTGCATTATACTGCAGAAGTTGGACTGATTAGTGCAGTAAGATCCGGGGATTACAACATGGTGACCCCACCAGGACCACATCATCTGCAAACAGCAGTGATGGAATTGTGAGGTCACTGAACAAGACTTCTTCTGCCTCGCTGCACTGAAAAATTCTCTCTGTAAAAGTTATGAACAGAATCAGTGGTGGATTCTGTTCATATACAGTATTTTTAGAGTCCAACTCTTAACCTGATAGGGCAGGGCTCTAGAGTGCGACTAATTTGGTTGCAAATGCGACCTTATTTTTTAAAAGTGCGCCTTAAAAACATTTCCAGTCGCACTGGTGCACCCAGTCGTTCCAGGAGGGGGGAGGGGTGTGGTTGCCCGCTGGAACAAAAAGTCTCAATGTCCCGTAATAACACTATCTAGCAGTGTGAACACAGCGCTCCGCTCTACACCCTGCACGCATATACACACGCTTGTTTTTCTATCCTCGTGAGGGCTTTCCTTCCCCTCCGTGAAGCAAAAACATGCGCACGCACACAGGCTCTGGCGCGCAGTGAATCAACCGTGTGTTTTTTTTGTTTTGTTTTGTTTTCCAAACCAGAGTCGGAAAAACTTTTCTTTTTTGTTGTTAACTGTGGAAATGATATGTGGATGGTTGCTTGCTCTGTCTCTGTAGTAAAGTCTCTGTAGTAAAGTCCATCAGGCTCTCTGCTGGAACGCAGCAGCAGAACATTCCAGCAGCATGACTAAGCTCACCTGTATGGCAAGCTGCTGTTACAAATAACTGGCTTCACCACACTTACGTTCCAGGTTCTGAAAATGGTTTTATGACTACACAGCTTAGTCTTTAAATGAGAGATACTGTACATAAAATTCAACTAATACAAATTAAATTTATGACTTTTTCATGTTGTTATTTCCATTATTTTAAAAAGCTTTTTTTCGTTTAATAAATATTAGTAATATTTCTGTTATTAATCATAATTCTCTGTTCATCAGTCTAGTTTAGTCAAGGCTAAAGATCCTGAAGGCCAAACTACAGGAGTTGCCCATCTGAGGGG